GGTTTTTTGAGACAGGGTCTTGCTATATAGTCCAGGCTGGTCTTGAACTCGCAGCAATCCTCCTGCCTCAGTTTCCGGAGTGCTGGGCCATTATGCCCTATCTATTTTTATTTAAATAAAGGTTCTGCATCTGATCAGTGCTGCAAAGGCATTCTTTTTTTTATTTATATGATGCAGGGGATGCAACCTAGGCCCAGGGGAGTCAGGCAAGCTTTCTACCACAGAGCTACATCCTTATCCTCCAGAAGGCATTCTTCAGTGCAAAACTCAATTTAATGCCAGGAGTAGTGGCACAGGCCTATAACCCCAGCACTCAGGAGGCTGAGGCAGGAGGATCACTGTAAGTTCAAAACCAGCCTGAGCTACAAAGTGAGCCCAAGGCCAGCTTGAAAGCATAGTGAGACCCTGATTCAAAAAGCCAAATAAATAAATAAATAAATGAAAAGAAAACTCAACTCAACTCCTATATATATATATTTTTTTAATTCTGCAGGAGGATATGCTTCAAAATTTCCAAGTTCTGTTGGGCATGGAGGTGCATGCCTAACAGGACTGAAGCACTCAAGAGGCTGAAGCAGAAGGATCACCACATATTTGGGGCCAGATGGACTCCACAGTGAGTTTAAGGCCTGCTTGAATTATTGCCCTGCGTCAAGGATAGACAGATAGATAGGATTTCTGAAGTGAGATGGTGGTATACGCTTATAATCCCAGCACTTAAAAAGCTGAGACAGAAAGATCACCACAAATTTGAGGCCAGTCTGGGCTACACTGTGAGTTCGAGACCAGCTTAAACTACATGGTGAGAACTTGTCTCAAAAAAAAAAAAAAAAAAAAAGAAAGAAAGAAAGAAAGAGAGAAAAAAGTCAGAGAGGTGAATTTGAAATTTCATCTGAATTGAAAATGATGTCTTGGGGGCTAGGGATTTAGCTCAGCAACATAAGCACCTCCTTGGCAAGTGCAAGGTTGCAAATTCAATCCCTAGTACCAAAAAACAAAAAGCAAGACAATGAAGTCTGGCATTGGGCATGGTGGCACACTCCTGTAATCCCAGCATTCAGGAGGCTGAAGCAGGAGGGTCATTACAAGTTCAAGATCAGCCTGGGCTCCAAAGAGAGCCCAAGGCCAGCCTGAACTGCACAGAGAGACCCTGTCTCTAAAAGACTATATATATATATATATATATATATATATATATATAATATATATATATATATATATATGAATGTTACTAAAAATAATAACCTTTATAATCTCTAGTTAATGAGTCTAAATAAGGTTTTCAACTTTCCTCTTTGTCCTTTTATATTATATAAAATTCTTATAAGAAAGAATATGTTCTTTTATGAAGAAAGTTGAGCTTTAAGAAAAAGATTAAAACACCAAGACAAAGAAACATACAAAAGCTGGGTGTGTTGGCACATACCTGTAATCTCAGCACTTGAGAGGGTGAGGCAGGATTGCCATGAATTCCAGGCCAGCCTGGGCTACACAATGAGTTCAAGGCCAGCCTGAACTATATATCGAGGCCGTATCTTAAAAAAGAAGAAGAAGGAGGAGGACAAGGCGGAGGAGGAGGAGGAGGAGTGGTGGTGGAAGAAGAGGAGGAGGAGGAGAAATAGTCTACCATCTGCCTCTCGATCTGCCTAGATGTTTACATCTTCTGACTCAAAGACCCTTACAATGCGTTTTCCAGAGGAAGAGCTATTTGTCAGAACTCATGTGTGGCAGCATTACCTGTAACAAAGGAAAAAACTGAACAGACTAAAGGCCAAATTTAAATCCTATCAATTAATTCTAAAGACCAAAGAGAACTAGTGGGGCAGGGGGGCACATATTTGTAATCCCAGCAGTGAGGAGGACGCAAGTTTGAGGCCTCTTTGGGCTACAGAGCAAGTTGAAGGCCAACCTAAACTACTCAGTTATATACTCTATCTCAAAAAACAAATATTGAGTGAAAAATTGGTACTATTTATCAGATGAGAAATTGAAAAATAAAGGATACAGCATCACAATGTTTTTTATATTTAATTACCTTTTTATTCTAACAATGTTCACCTTTTTGTCTTATTCTGTTTTTGTTTTTTGAGACAGGGTCTTGCTATGTAATTCAGAGTGGTTTTGAACTCACTAAATAATCCAGGCTGATCTCAAACTCAGCGATCTTCCTGGCTCAGCCTCCTCCAAGCTGGGATTACAGAAGTGTAGCACCATGCCCAGCAATTTTCACTTTTCAAAGCTAAAAATCACTTAATATTTTTCTTTGAAGTCAAAATATCATTATTTTATTGGTAGAAGTAATTAGGATCATGGGTGGGGATATAGGTCAGTGGTAGAATGCTTGCCTAGCATGTGCTAGGCCCTGTGTTCAATCCTTGGCACACACACAAAAAGAATGAGGATCATACACACGATGCTATAAACCACATCTAAAAGGCTCCTAGTTACAAAAGATTCCAAGTTACAAAAGAGAAGCAGGAATCTTAAACATCCTAACCAAGTTACAATGACAGAGTGACATCTTTGACCACAGAAGTCTATTTATGGAAATCACTGTGGGTCTTATGATGAACTGAGACATCGTAACTACATGGAAGCTTTTGAAAAAGTTCAAACTGAGTACCTCAAAATTAAGACAAAAGCTGGGTATCAGTGCACACCTGTAATCCCAGAAGTCTGGGAGTCTGAGGCAAGAAGATCAATAGTTTGAGCCCAGCTTGGGCAACTTAGAACTTGTTTCAAAATTAAAAATTGGAAAGGGGGCACGGGGTTGAGTATGTAGCTCAGGACAAAACTGGGTTTAAACCCCACTACTGCATACACACTCAAAAAAAAAAAAGGGTATAAGTATGGTGCAGACATTTTTATAAATGAAATCTCATATTTGCTACTTAAAAAAACTATGCAGAAGCAAATAGACCTGCACTAAAAAGGTCATCATAGGAAACGATATCTACAACACCTCCTAGTGAGGTACCACCTTTACCCTGCGCCAGAGCTACTCTCAACAGGGTACACAAGTTTAACCAATGTACACAAAAGTCTAGAAAACTATTTTATAGACTACAATGTAAGACCCTTGCATAATCTTTTACTGCAAGAAGAAAAAAAGACAGATACAGATAAAATAGGTATGAATAAAAAAACAGTAGTTAAAAAAAAAACAGTAGTTGAATATTTTAGAATTAGGAAAAGCTTATAGCTATCCATGGTAGTGAAAGAAGACAAACGGAGCCTTAAAAAACTGAAAAACACAAAACAGTCTGTGAATATTGTTGGTTTTTTTTTTTTTTTTTTTTTTTTTTTTTAGTACTGAGGATCGAACTCATGACCTCGTGCTTGCCAGGCAGGTGCTTATGCCACTGAGCTAAATCCCCAGCTATTGTTGGTTGTTTTAAACATCATTCTCACTTCTAAGTGAAATATGCTTTAAATTACCACATCCCAATCTGTAACTGAGGAAAGATGTGACAACATGACTAAATATAAAATGAACGAATAAATTTTTTCTCTGCTTCTAAAAGCCTAAAATCTAGTTTTTTACAAAATGCTTTGTTTCTTCATAGCCTAAAACTACTACCTTTTATTAGATAAATGAGAAAAGCAACAGAAAATCATAAGCCTGACAAGAAAATGATGCAATGGGTTTCCAGTGTGTCTTTTTTTATTTAATTTTTTTTTTATTTTAAAGAGATTAAGACAAAAGAGGACATAAAAAAGCAGCTCAGGACAGAACAATTTAAGCAATGGGTTTTCTTTTCAATATGCTGGAGATTTCTTTTGACATGCAGAAACTTTTTAATAAGAGGTGATCCTGGTTATTGATTCTGGGAAGTATTTCCCGTGCGGTTTGAGTCCTGTTTATGAATTCTCTACCTACCCCATGTCTTCAAGATTTTTACCTAATTTGTCTTCCAAAAGATTTAGTGTTTCTGTTTTAATATTCAGATCTTTGATCCATTTAGATTTTAGTTTAGTTCATGGTGATAGGCATGGGTTTAGTTTTAGTTTTTGGCATATGGAGAGCCAGTTTTTCCAGCACCATTTACTACAGACTGTTATTCTTCCAGTGAACCTGTTTGGCCCCTTTATCAAAGACAAGGTGATTGAGAGTGTTGGTAATTGTGGTTGTGTCTTCTAATCTATTCCATTGATCCAGTGTGTCTTAGGAAGTGAGTGTCAGATGCTCACTGACATTTAGATACCCCATGGCAGGGCCTACACAGAACAGGGGATCAAATGCCTCACAATTCTGGCAGATACATGGCTCACACAAGATTGGCATTCCTGTGGCAAGCTTCAGTTTTCAGATAGTTAGGACCTAACCCAAATGAATTTTAATAGGTAATTTGCATGACCATAGGGTCCCCAAAAAGCCCTATAATCCATGAAAAGAACTATCTGAAATTTTGAATGTAATATCAATATCTATCCTGAATTTATGGAATTTTTGCCTTATATTTATGTTAAAACATGCATATACTTTTAGACACTTTCTTTATATTTTAGTCTCGGACTATGCAAAAGGTAAGTAACTGGCTACTTTTAAATCTGTTATGATGCTTCCTATATTAGTAAAGTGATTATAATTTCATAAAATGGAGCCTTTTATATGAATTTTTCTGTAATCTTTTTAAATTGATTTATTAAATTTCACACTTTCTTGCAGTATACCTGTATTTAAAAGAATTATCCAAATTTAGCTGAGGATTCCAAAAATAAAGTCCAGAAAGTTTGGCTTCTTGTCTCAGGTTAGAATAACGACTCAGCTATAACACATGCTTCTTCCAGACATTACTGATTAAAGCAATCATCTTTGGTTACTGAAAGTAGCTGAACCCAGGTTAAAAAGGAAGAAAATGAACTTTAAATACATTCCACAATGCTTTACAGAAGCAAACAAAAGCAAAAACAAACAAAATAAAAATAAATCACATTTTTAAAAAGCTGATTTTTGCTTAAAACACCAAGCAAGTAATGGACATATGAATATTCCTAACCTGCAAAATGATTCCTCCACATTATATCAGCGAAACTCATTGGTGGGCCACTGGGAGGGTAGTGTTTACCTTTCAGAGGCTCATGATCAGTCCTTATCATATCCATTAAGGAGTTCTCCAACGAGTGCAAGTTAAAAGTGTCATAGGGCCTACTCCGGTCCTAAAAATAAAAACACAGAACAAGACAATACGTAAAAGTAATTCATAAAATTTATACTATGACATTTGCTTCCTGCTAAGGACTGATGACATGAATGAAATTTATAGACACCTCTAATAAATAACAGTCATTCTTTTCATCAAGAATAATGACTTAGCACCATTCTGTTTAATATACATTCCCACTATAATTAATTAAATTACCTCCTCTCCCCTGATATTCTATCATATAAATGCCCCCCCCCCTTTCTTCAGACTGACTTTCTCCCAAATAACTAAAAAGGGAAATTTAAAGGGAAAAATCGCTGAGGCAGAAGGATTGCTGCAAGTTCAATAGCAAGACTCTGTCTCAAACACAAAACAAAACAAAAACAAACAAACAAAAATAAACACCTGCCTTACAGAGTAGCCACCAAGTGAGAATAGTGCCCACATGTAAAATGAGGGTAGGCTGATTGGGGTGGCAGTTTTGATCTTTAGTGTGTTTTGTTTTCTTATCTCTAGGTTTCAAGGCTGAGAAGTTTCTGATAAGATCTTCTTTTCAGGGTAATAAGGCAGTATGTACTGCAAAAAAATGATTTTTTTAAAAAAAGTAAATTGGCTTTGCCTTTTATTCTACTTCTTGCCTCTGCTATCAATACGAACACTGTTCCCATGACAGAGTACGACCAAAATAACTCAGCCTACAAACAATCACTTTCCTGAAAAATAAAAACAATTGTAATTTCAATATAATTGTAATATCTTTACTATTTATGACAATGTTTGATACATCAGATACTTTTTAAAAATAAAAGTGTTTCAAGCACTAAAATTACCTTTTGAAAAGCATTAACATGAAAAACAAAAATTCACAGAATTTTTCATATTAGATTTTTTAAAAATTGAAAATAGAATCCCTGCAAACTAAGTGAAAAAAAATGCTTTCACTACATTTTGCTCATGCCCATAGGAACCATCACCTACATACTTCAGTTCAGAATTAAAGTGGAATGCAGCTCATAGTCTAAGTTCATTCTTAGAACAGACCTACTCTGTTTGCTGAAGACAAGCAAGACAAACACATCAGCAGCAAACATGTCTACAGCGATGAGCGAATGCTCGCACCTTGCACAGTTTATTCAGCTGTGCACATGATCACTTACCTTCTCCAATGGATAGCACTAATTGATTATTTGTCACAATCCTTGGATAGGAAAGAAACATGGAACACATTCTTTGGTGTTCCATTTTGGTTTCTATATAATTCAAGAAGATCTTTATTTTTACCTTTAAAATCTTCCTGAAGATCATTTGTTTGGCTTTGGATTCACTTTATCAATGGAAACTTCAATTACTTAAGAAGTCGAATTTCCAGAAATGAAGGCTTATCTGTCCCCTTAGAGATATCATATTCTTTGTCCCCAGAAAAAAGTCAAGAGGAAGTATACAGATGAGACAAAGCAACCACCTATTTCTGGCATTGACAATCGAAAAATGAGTACCTAGGCACTGATATCATACCTGCACTTCAACCTAAAGGCCTATAGACAAGACAACTCTTGAAAATAGTTTGACAAGGCAGGGAATTATTAACAAAAAAGGATGATTGATGTCATTCAGTAACGTTTCCAGCTGGGTATGGTGGTGCATACCTGTGTTCCCAGCTATTCAGGAGGCTGAGCAGGAAGACTACAAATTGGAAGCCAGTTCTGCACAACTTAGCAAGATCTTCTCTCAAAATTTAGAATAAGCTGAAGATATATAACTTGATCACTGATACTGAAAAAAAAAATCTTTCTAGCCAGGACAGTTTTATTTTTTCATTTAGCTCTTTATATAGACTTTACATGATGACACACACTTGTAATTCCAACACTCAAGAGGTTAGGGCAGGATTGCTAAGAGTTGGAAGGCAGCCTCAACTATACAAGTAGCAAGACCCTATCTCAAAAAACAAACCAACAAATCTATCCAGTAAGTTGATCCAATTCATACAGAATAGTAAATAAAAAACTTCTATAGAAGCATGGAATTACATCTAACTACTGATGAAACGACCTTCCTGTCATAAGAGGATATCAGATAACAGATGACTACTTGCCAGGGATGATGAAGGTGTTGGGAGGCTCATGTATCTAAAATGAAATGGTCTTCAAACTGGTCAGATTCTCAAAAATCATATATAGCACTGCTTGAAACAAGTTCTTAGGCTCCAACTCAAAGCCAGTGAACTGTAATTTTAAAAAAACATTTTCCAGGTGATTACCATAATCAAGGTGAGTCACTCAACTTAAAACTTCACACACATAATTCTGTTCAGTAAGCTTGGGTAATTAAAGTGAAGGCAGCACCTGCCCAGCGACCTCACAGTGGCCCAGAGCCACCTGCGCTCTGCTTCTTGAGCAGAAAGTGTGCACAGCACTATCCATCCCAAGGGGAAACATTGGCACATTGCTCAGAGACTGCTAGAGCCCCGCCCAGCATACCTCATCACCAGAGGATGCCTGGGAAGGGTCCTTGCTGGCCTACCTGGGCCACACTCAGCAACACCTGAATGGCTAGGAGCCACTGGTAAGGCCTGCATAATAACCTCCACTCAACTGGGGAAACTCCCTGCAGCAAGGATAGATATTCTCAACCCAAGAAACAACTGAGACCTGGCCTTCAGCTTTCCTAAGGGATATAGGAAAATGACAAAACAAAACAGCAAAATGCAATCTCAAACTTCCAGCCCATCCCAAGCAAGACTAGGAGACATGGACATAAAAGAAAATGTAATCCATAAACTGAAATTCCTGAAATGACAGCGACTGAAGTAAAGAAACAACTCCAAGAAGAAATAAAAGAACTCAGATCAGAAATAATCTCCCAGGTAAAAGAAGAAATAATAAACGTAATGAAAGAAATGCTGAACATACCTGAAGAACACAAAGAAAATATTAAAAAATTAGAGAAACAATGCAAAAAGATGGAAACTTTGAATGAACAATATAAAAAACAAACAGAATGCATGAAACAGTTTCAAAGATATATCCAGGAAATCAAAAATTCCATTGAAAGTTGTCAAAACTGCCTCAGTGAAAGTGAAGATAGAATTTCAGACCTCGAAGACAATATTGCAGCTAGTGAACAGGAAAAGAAAGATCTTTTAAAAATAACAAGGAATCAGAAAATAACAATGCAACAGCTGCAAGACGATGCAAAGAAAAACAACATAAGATAGATAGGTATAAACGAAAAAGAAGGGGACAACACAAATGATATCAAAAGACTATTTACAGAAGTAATAGTCAAAAGTTTTCCAAACATGACAATGGAAACTGACAAACAGGTAAGTGAAGCATATTGAACTCCACATAGCCATAACCAAAGTAAAACTACAACCAGACAAATAATAATCAACATCCTAGAAATTCAACATAATAACAGAATATTAAAAACTGTTAGAAGAGACACAGATCACCTATAAACGAAAGCCTATCAGAATCAAACAACACAGACTCTTCTCAGTACAATGAAGCCAAGAAGAGCATGGAGGGAAGTATTTCAGACACTACAGGAAAATAATCTCCAACCCAGATTGATGTATCCTGCAAAAAAATTGATGGAGAAATAAGATACTTCCACAATGAAGAACAGCTGAACAACTTCATGACCACCAAACTAACTCTGCAAAGAATACTGAAAGACATTGTAGATAGACACAGGAAAAAAACCACTAAGCAAGAGAAACAATTAGAGGGGAAAGGTAAAGAATCAAAAGCAAAAACATAATGTCAAAAATAACCCAAGGGGCTGGGGATTTAGCTCAGCGGCATAAGTGCCTGCCTTGCAAGCAGGCAGTCGTGAGTTCGATCCCTGGTACCGATAAAAAAGGAAAAAGACAAAAAAAAAAAAAAATAACCCAAAATATATCAGTTATAACCACTGATGTAAATGGTCTTAATATTAAAAGAAATAGACTCGCAGAATGGATCAAGAAACAACCTCCAACTATGCTGTACACAGGAAATCCATCTAGCCCAAAAGGAAACTCATACATTGAAAGTCAAAGAATGGAGAACAATACCTCATACAAAAGGAACCTCCCCCCAAAAAAGTAGGGGTAACTATTTTGTTTGTAAACAATGTGAATTTCAAACCAAGAATGATCCACAGAGATAAAAAAGGTCACTACATATGAGTTACAGGAAAACTTCAAGAGGAAGACATAACAATCTTAATTATATGTGCACCAAATTTGGGAGCACCCAGCTATACAAAACAAATATTAACAGAAATGAAAAACCAAATAAACACTAACACAATTATAACAGGAGGCTTTAACACCTTATTGACACAAAGAGACAGATGAACTAGATAGAAAATTAGTAAAGAAACAACAGAACTGAATCACACCTGTGAACAAATGGACTTGGCGGATGTGTACAGTGTTGCACCCAACATCAGAATACACATTCTTCTCAGCAGCATATGAGACATTCTCTAAAACAGACCACGTACTGGCCCACAGAACATGCTTAAGTAAATGCAAAAGAATTGAAATTGTTCCATACATGTTATCAGATCATAGCACCATGAAACTAGAAATTAACGACAAAAGAAACTGCAAAAACCACACAACTACATGGAAATTAAATAATACACTCCTGCGTGAGTAATCAGTGGTTCACAGAGGAAATTAAAGATGAAATTTTAAAAATCTACAAACAAATGAAAATACAAAAACAACTTACCAGAACCTGTGGGACACAATGAAAGGAGTCCTCAGAAGGGAATTTATTGTTGTGAATTTCCACATCAGGAAAATAGAACAAACACAAATAAACAACCTAATGCTACACAATAAACATCTAGAAAAAGACGTTTGGGCAAGTCAAGCTCAAAGCCAAGAGATGGGAGGAAATTATAAAGATCAGAGTGAAAATCAATGCAATAGAGACTAAGAAAACAATACAAAGAATCAATGAGAGTTCATTCTTTGTAAGGATAAATAAAATTGACAAGCCCTTAACCAGC